AAAAACACAGAAACATCCAGTGAGATCTGTAGGAAGAGTATTACTAACCTCACCTGACATATTTGGAAAGCAAGGCAGAGTGACCGATCTGAAGTCCCTTGAGCAGATTGTGGGTAAGGCAAGAATTGGGCCTGTTGGAGCGAGCTCTGGTCCCACACAGCCTTTTCCATAGTGTCTAAGCACCACCACTAACCACACGTGGTAGACACCATAAAGGTACACAGACATATGAGCACAGCCTCTCATCACAGGCGTTCGATTTCATGTATCCAACATTTTCAGCACTGTGCTAGGGATACAGAGGCAGACACATCAGTTTGCCACCCCGGAGAAGCTCAGGTCAAAGCCTCAAAATCAATAACCATCTCAATAACAGACTGACATTGAACACCCTCTGTACATGAAGCAAGGCCTTCCAAGCTGGATTGTTAGGGACGGTCCTACATCTGCCTGGTCCCTTCCCTGACATCCCACAATGTTCTGTAGCACATAGAGCACAATGCAGCCCTCAGGGTGAGTCCTAGCCTGGCCCTGCCACCCACCAGTTGAGTGGCTATGGGCAAATTACCTCCCTGGATTGAACCCCAGTTTCCTCATATCTAACAGCAAGGTTAATAATGCCCCCCCAAAATATGTCCACATTATAACCCCAGAACCTATCGATGTGACTTTAATTGAAAAAGAGTTTTTGCAGATGTTACAAAGTTAAGGATCTTGAGATCACCCTAGGTTACGCAGGTGGACCTTAAATCCAGTAACAAGTATCTTATGAGAGATACCAGGAAGGAAGACACAGGGAAAAGAGAAGAAGTCTGTATGAGGACAAAGACCAAGATGGGATTATATAGTCACAGGCCAAGAAATATCCAGAGCCACCGGAATCTGTAAGAAACAATGATTCTCCCTCCAGAGCCTTTGGAGAGAGTATGGTCCTGCTGGCACCTTATTTTTCAGATTCTGCCCTCAAGAATGGTGACAAAATAAATTTCTGGAGTTTTCTTGAAGCCACTAAATTTGTGATAACTTGTGAAGGTAGCCCTAGGAAACATACCTATTTCGTGGGCTGCTGGGCATGGAAACCATCCTATCTTGGAGTAAGCCCTTCATTGTGTGATTGGTGTTATTCTTGTCCTCACCATGCTCAGAGTCACCTCAAGTCCCTGCCCATTCTGTCCCTCCCACCTGGACACTGTCACCCTACCAAAGATCCAGAATAAAGGTTTCCGTGTTTTGATTTAGGGATGTTTATTTGTTATTTACTATTTCCTGTGGACACTGTTCAAAATAATAGCACCCAGTTTTTATTCAGATGAATCTGAAAGGGACAGAAATAATGTATTTTGAAATACATTACATAATATACTACTACTAATATAATACAATAAAATTCATATAATAGCTTATGTATTTCTAACACACAAAGTCACTATATCCAACCAGTACTCTGACCAGCATCCTTTCTGATCGGTTTGTGATTAGGTCATAACGGGGGACTATTCTGCCGTCACCCTGTCCACAGACCCTGCTTCTTCATCTCCAAGGGAAGGGGAGAGTCCCCAGAAGTGGCCTGGAAGACCTCACACAGACAACTGAGACTAACTAGTCCAGCAGGTTCAAACTGTGCTTGGGGAAGCCAAGTTTGTATGAATGAGCCTTGCAGGATGCATGTGGGTGCGGGGAATGGCAGGATCCTGGGAGTCCTACCTCCTTCACAAGGACCTGCTCTTTTTATCTGCTCTGTAAACCTGGAATATGCATATGATTCTGCTTTAGAAAAAAATTTAAAGCACTCTGATGTGTTTTTAAAAAACAAGTGTTTGAACTACTGATATGGCACACTTCCTTTGCAGGCAGAAAACTGAGCTCCAATGTGCAGGATCCCTCAGTGAGGGACTGAGAGCCAGGACCAGAATGTTCAGACTCTGGACTTTATCCAGGGACTGTCTGCTCCAGCAACCACGGCCACAACCACCCAACCCCACTGTGAGGCCTTGGAGTGCTGCCATTGCTGGCCCCGGGGCTCCTCTCCAGGTAGGACAGCCCCTGCGCCTCTCAAGTCCATGCCTGGGGTGGGAGGGGACGCCCAGGTGGTCCCGGCTGCCCCTCCTCTGGGGGTGGGCTTGGTCTCCACCTGCACCCAGGCAGTCCAGTCTCAGGCTACTGCTGCCCGAGGTGGTGTCACTGCCTGGGAAATCTTCCTCTCCGGTGTACCTTCCTCCTTAGAGCTGACACCCAGACCTTATCTCAGGTGAGGAAACGTCCAGAGCACAGGTCCATGGACATGTTTCTTGAAACACAATCAGAAGGCTGGTGTTTTCATGGATTAGAAAGCGAAGGGGAAAAGGCACCCAACAATTACCAAGCCGGTTTTGAGAATGAGCCCTTATCTGTCTGGACCCAGGGGCCGGCCGGCCAATGGGACCACCAGGAAAAGTCCAAGCCAGGGACAAAGAGTCTACCACACAAAAGTAAATGCAAAAAAATAAACATTAACAAGAGAGCCGTGGCCCCAAAGCCCTGGGCCACAACCAGCTGCTGTACCAAAGCGAAAAGACAAGAAAGCACTGGAAAATGTAAGCCCAGCGTAAGGCTGCCATCACAGAAAGATGTCTCAACGAACTGCAGTCAAATTAGAAACATTCGTGCAGGGGCGCCTGGGTGGCTCCATTGGTTGAGCATCCGACTCTTGATTTCGGCTCAGGTCATGAACCAAAACTCATGGGATCAAGCCCCACATCGGGCTCCACACTCAGCTTAAGATTCTCTCTCCTCTCTCTGTCTCCCTCTGCCTCTCTCCCCTGCTCACACACTCTCTCTCTCTCAAAAAAAAAAAAAAAAAAAAAGGGAGACAAGAAATGTTTGCACAGCGTCTTCCCTCAAGGGACACCCAGTGCAGTGAACAGGGTACTAGGTGTAGTGTGTATTTGAAAGCTGAGCATCAGTAAGATTCCAAAGATTCCGATAATAGTTCCAAGCAGAAGAAGAAAAACATTTAAAAGGTGATACAAAGCACCACACAGTCAAGGAGTGACCAGATAAATGGTGGAATTTATAGTTACCAGAAGAGTTCAGAGAGGACACCCAGGCAGGCAGGATTAGTAAGATCTGGCTTGATACCATCTCTCATTTCTTAAGTACCTACTACCTGCCAGAGTTTGAGGATTTCACCTTTGACAACTCCACAAGGTCTGCATAAACATTTCCACTTCAAGAGGGAAAGCTGGAAGCCAGAGAGGCCAGGTGGCCCTGCACAGTAGCTGAGTCGTGGAACCAGAGTGGGTGTGAGGCCTGGGCCTGGCCATTTCCTGAGCGTGCTCAGCTAGAGACGGCAAGGAGAATCTGGATACAAGCAAAAGGGAGGAGACATCATTCCAGGCAGGTGAAAAGAGCATCTGAAATCAAAGGCAGGAAAGTCCCAAGCACACTCAAAGCCATTAACAGAGAAATTCAGCTGGGATGGAGATTCCTGGAATGGGTAGTATCAATTGAGTACTCGCTACACTAGGTGAGATTCTAAGAACTTTACATGTATCATTTCCTTTAACCTTCACAATAACCCTGGGAGGTATGGAATATAATCATTCCCAATGTATGGCTGAGAATACAGAGGCACAGAGAAGTAAAGTAACTTGCCCAAGACCACACAGCCGGTAAGAGGCAGAGGTAGGATTTGAACACGTTCTGGATTGAAAGTCCATGTTCTTTTTTTTTTTTTTTTCTTCAACGTTTTTTTATTTATTTTTGGGACAGA